ACTAAAAAAATACCTGAAGGAAAGTTGGAAATAGAAAAGCTGGGCAAATGGTCAGCAACTAAAGATGCAAGTATAACCAACTGAATAGAAGAAATGGAATAGAGAATTTCAGGTGTTAAAGATACACTAGGAGAAATTGATTCATCTACCAAAGAAAATGTTACGTTCAACAAATCCCTAACACAAACCATCCAGGAAATATGGGACACCATGAAAAGACCAAACCTAAGAATAATAGGTATGGAAGAATGTGAATAAAACCACCTCATAGAGGCAGAAAATATATTCTACAAAATCATAGAAGAAAACTTTCCCAACCTAAAGAAAGACATGTCAATGAAGATACATGAAGCCTACAGAACAAAAAATAGATGGGCCACATAAAAGTCCCCTCACCACATGATAATCAATACCCCAAAAATACTAAAAAAAGAATATTAAGAGCAGCTAAGTAAAAAGGTCAAGTAACATATAAGGGCAAACCAACAGAAATAATCCTGACTTCTACATGGAAACTCTGAAAGCCAGAAGGTCCTAGATAGATATTCTACCAACACAAAGAGACCACTGATGCCAGCCCAGACTACTATACTCAGTAAAGCTTTCAGTCACTATAGATAGAGAAAACTAGATGTTCCATGACAAAACTAGATTCAAACAATGCATATCCACTAACCCAGCCCTACAGAAAGTTCTGGAAGGAAAACTACAACTCAAGGAAGTTAACTACAACCAGAAAAACAGGCATAAGATAATCTCACCTTACCAATAGCCAAAAGAAAAAAAGGGTTAGAATTGCACACATAATTCTACCAACAACAACCATTCCAAATCAAAGAAGAATGAGTATTCAATTCTAATTAGTATCCCTCAATATTAATGACCTTAACTAGCCCATAAAATGACACAGGCTAACATAATAGATTTGAAGACACAACCCATCCTTCTGCTGCATAAAAGAAACACACCTCACCCTCAGAAACAGACATTAACTCAGAGTTAAAGGTTGGAAAAAGATTTTCCAATCAAATGGACCCAAGAAACAATTGGGAGAAGCAATCCTAATATCTAACAAATAAGACTTTAAAATAAAATCAATCAAAAGAGATCAAGGAGGTCATTATATACTCATCACAGGAGAAATCCACCAAAATGAAGTTTCAATTATGAATATCTATGCCCCAAATATAAAGGCATCCACATTTTTAAAAGAAACATTAGTAAAACTTAAATCACATATAAAGCCCCACATACTTATAGTGGGAGACTTCAACACACCATTCTCACCACTAGACAGGAATACAAGACAGAAACTTAACAAAGAAGCAAAGGGGCTAATAGAAGTTATGACCCAATTGGGAAAAACAGACATCTATAGAACATCCCATCCAAATATAAAAGAATATAACTTCTCAGCACCACATGGAACCTTCTCAAAAATCAACAATATACTGGGCAACATAACAAACCATAACAGGTACAAAAAAATTGGAATAACTCCATGCATCTTATCAGATCACCATGTGTGAAAATTAGAATTCAACAACAACACAAATTGCAAAAACCCTACCAACTCATGGAAATTGAATAATGCACAATTCCTGGGGCAAAAAAGAAATAAAATAGAAATTAAAGACTTCCTAGAATTCAATGAGAATGAAGACAGAACATACCCAAACCGATGGAACACTTTGAAAGCAGTGCCATGAGGGAAGTTCATAACACTATGTCCCCACATGAAGAAACTGGAAAATAGTTACAACTGAGAACTGACAGTACAGCTGAAAGTTCTAGAACAAAAGAAGCAAACTCACTCAGGAGGATTAGACGCCAGGAAATAATCAAATTGAGGGCTGAAATAAATAAAATTGAAACTAGGAAAACAATACAAAGAATCAAAGCAGCAAAGAGTTGGTTCATCGAGAAAATCAACAAGATAGACAAACCATTATCAATCTTACCAAACGGCATAGTGCGAATGTGAAAATTAACAAAATCAGAAACCAAAATGGGGACATAATAACGGACTCTCAGGAAATTCAGAGATTCATCAGGTCATACTTTGAAAACCTTTGCTTCACAAAATTCAAATATTTAATGGAAATGGAAAATTTTTGGACAGCTATCACTTGCCAAAATTAAATCAAGAACAGATAAGCAATTTAAATAGACCTATAAGCCCTATGGTTATAGCAACAATCATCAAAGTCTCCCAAATAAAAAAGCACATGTCTAGATAGTCTCATTGCAGAATTCTACCAGAAATTCAATGAATAGCTTATACTAATTCTTCTCAAAGTATTCGACACAATCGAAGCAGAAGGGTCTTTGTCAAACTCTTTTTATGAGGCTTCAATAACCTTGATACCCAAGTCACACGAAACACAGATAAGTATGAGCACATCAGAACAAAACCCCTCATGCACACTGATGCAAAAATACTCAATAAAATACTGGCAAATCAGATCCAAGAACACATCAAAACAATCATTCACCACAATCAAGTAGGTTTCATCCCAGGGATGCAGCAATGGTTCAACATACGAAAATCCATCAATATAATCCACCATATAAAGAAGGTGAGAAACAAAAATCACATGATCTTCTCACTAGATCTGAAAAAGCCTTTGACAAAATCCAACCATCATTCATGAAAAAGGCCTTGGAGGGATCTGTGATAAAAGGAACATACATAAGCATAATAAAAGCTATATACATAAAAGCAACAGCTAACATCAAACTAAATGGACAGAAACTCACCACGATTCCTCTAATATCAGGAACAAGACAAGGCTGTCAACTCTCTCCATATGTTTTCAATATTGTACTTGAAGTTCTAGCCAGAGACATACGACAAAAAAGGAGATCAAGGGGATACATATTGGAAAGGAAGAGGTCAAACTTTCCCTATTTTCAGATGATATGATAGTTTACATAAGTGATCCAAAAATACTGTACCAGAGAACTCCTACAGCTGATAAATACTTTCAGCAAAGTGGCAGTATATAAGATCAACTCAAAAAATCAGTAGCCTTACCATATACACACGATAAAGGGCTGAAAAAGAAATCAGAGAAACATTACCCTTTACAATTGCCACAAACAACATAAAATACTTGTGGTAAAGCTAACTAAACAAGTAAAAGACCTGTATCAAAAGAACTTTGAGTCTTTAAAGAAGGAAATTAAAGAAGAAACCAGAAAATGGAAAGATCTCCCATGCTCTTGGATAGGTAAGATCAATGTAGTAAAAATGGCAATCCTGCCAAAAGCAATCTATAGATTCAATGCAATCCCTACAAATTACCAGTGAAATTCTTATGTTAAAAGAACAATAATCAATTTTGTATGGCAAAACAAAAGACCCAGCATAGCCAAAACAACCTTACTCAACAAAATAACATCTGGAGGCATCATCATCCCTAATTTCAAGCTCTATTATAGAACTGTAGTCCTAAAAGCAGCTTGGTATTAGCACAAAAACAGACAGGTAGACTAATGGAATGGAATTGAACACCCTGATATTAACCCATACATGTTGAATGTTTGATTTTTGAGAAAGAAGATAAAAATATACAATGGAAAAAAGAAAGCATCTTCAACAAATGGTGCTTGCATAACTGTATGCTGGCAGGTAGAAGAATGCAGATAGATCCATGTTTATCACCATGCAAAAAACTTAAGTCCAAACGGATCAAAGACCACAAAAATGGATGAAATGACAGATTATGGACAGACCATGGAAGTCCTCACCCTCCCTGGTAAATGAGGGGATACAGGGGGGGTTGGTGGGAGGGCACATAGGAGGAGAGGGAATGGGAGACGGACCTGGGATTGACATGTGAATCAACCTTGTTTCCAATTTAAATTTTAAAATAAAAAGAAGTGCTTACCAATCTTGTATACCTGTGATAATTTCTATGTAAGCATAGTTTAGACTACTAGCCTAGGACAAGGTTTTCCTTTCAGCACCCCTTTAAATACATATCGGAACGGGAAGGTATCTGTTCAGCATATATATGGAACTCCTAAACTCTTCCTTTCATTGTTTCTCAGTGTAATATGAATTTTTTTCAATTTCCTTTTGCTGAAACTCAAAGATTCAGAGTATAGTAACCTGCTTCATCAATTTTGCACTTGAAATATTAGAGTGTCTGAGAGATTATCTATTATCTCAGTGTAACTGTCTGCTTCTTTCATGTCCTCAGCTGATTGTTTTCCTGAGACATGGATGTGAGTGAAATGCTAGTTTCAAGTCAGATGTCCTTCTGTTTTCAACCTAGATTGTGTGTCAATGCTATCTACTTGTCAATAAATACATAGTATATAGAAATCAGATTTCTCACCTCACAAATCAAGATTCAAACACTGACTGCTGTTATGACATGGACCTTAACAACAAAAAGTTTATTTTTTCAAAAAAACAAACATTATGATGGCAAAATGTTTTGGGTGTCAGGTCAAAATCTGAAATCAGATTGTTCTTGTTCCCAGAGAGGTAGATAACCATTACCTTCCAGGAAGAAATATATATTTTCAGTGTATATATAGAAAATAATAATTCTAAAAACATTATAAATTGCCTCATATTGTCATCACATTGGGCAAAAAACAGGAGAGGCATAGTATTCCAAAATTTTCAGTTATGGGAGTCCAGCAGTCTTTTCTTGCACTTTACCCAATGTACAAATGTGAAATTCTCAGGGGAGGGCCATTGTGATGCTCAGTGATGGTTTCATTGTTTCGACATCTTTACTTTCTTTCTGGTGTCCATTAGTAAATGATTTAAAAACATTGCACACTGCATGTGTTACTACAGTACTTCTCAAATGGAAAATAATCCACTAGACATTAGGACATGTTTGGCACACTAAATTTTTTGTTGCCTCAAAATTTGGGGAACCAAACAAATCCATCCTGCACTGTTACTTGTCATCCTTGAAAACAGTAGCATGTTAGGCATATTCTGGAAAATTGTCATGAAAAGAACGTCCTATCTTGACCTCAGATTGCCCTTTGTATGAGTCTATCATCATCCTCCGAGATTTGTTTTCATCATCAATACAGAAAAGTCCCATGAACACATGAGTTTCCCCCTGCCTTGTGAAAGCTGGGATAGCTAATCTCATCTGTTTTGAAAATGAAGATCAGCATTTTGAAACAGACTTGCTCCTCTTGTGTCTCAATAAGTGTACTTAACAAGAGATAGCATGAATAAAATATCCCAAACATCTTATGTAATACATAAATTTGACATCATATAAAATCATTTATTTGCCACAGTTACGTACTAGAAAGGGGAACATAAAAGAGTGTTTTTATGACTTTATATCATGAAATCTGGTATCCATAAATAAAATATAGAAGATGTGTTTAAAATGAATAAAAATGACCATTGGTGATCTGTAAATATATTTTAATAGACATTCTAGGTTTTAGGTTTTATATGAATCTATCTAACAAGATCTTTTTGAAAGATTCTACCTCAGTCCTCCTCTTCTGCCCCATTATTTGTCCTCCATCTCCTAGTCCATTCCATATTTTCCACTTAATCTTACAATTGTCCATTATATGCTGAATACTGAAACTCCTTAGTAGTAGCATCACCTTCCTGGATGTTCTCTGTTCTATTCAGGATCTACTGAGGTGATCTTGTGGGTTTTCTTTTTCAGTTTGTGATTTGATGGAATAATTGACAGAGTTTGATATGTTGAACAATCCCTGCATTTCTGGGATGAAACCTGCTTGATTGTGGTGGATGATTTTTCTGATGCATTCTAGAATCGATTTGACAATATTTACCTGAGTATTTTTTTCATCAATGTTCATGAGGTAGATTGGTCTGTAGTTCTTTTTTTCTAGTTGTGTCTTTGTGTGGTTTGGGTAACAAGGTAATTACAGCCTCTTATAAAGAGTTTGGCAGTGGCCCTTTTGTTTGTCTTGGGTGGAACCACTTGAAGAGTTTCGTATTAGGTCTTATTTAACCTCTGGTAGAATTTTGCACTGATATGGTCTGGCCCTATGGGTGCTTTTTGTTGAGAGATTTTTGATGACTGATTCTATTTCATTAGGGATTATAGGTCTATTTAAATTGCTTATCTGTTTTTGATTTAATTTTCCCAAGTGATATTTGTCCAGAAATTTGTCAGATTCCTTGAAATTCTTGAATTTTGTGAAGTATAGGCTTTCAAACTATGACCTTATGATTCTTTAGATTTCCTCAGTGTTTGTTGTTAAGTCCCCCTTTTCATTTCTGATTTTTTCTATTTGCATATACTCCCTGCCATTGGTTGGGTTGGATAAATATCTGTCTCTCTTGTTGATTTTCTCATAAACCAACTCTTTGTTTCAGTTTTTTATATTGTTTGCCTTGTTTACATGTTATTGATTTCAGCCCTCAATTTGATTATTTACCAGTGTCCATTCCCCCTGGTTAAGTTTGCTTCTTTTTGTTCTAAGCTTTCAGGTATGTTTTTAAGTTTCTCCAGTTTCTTTGTGTGGGCACTTAATGCTAAGAAATTTCTCTTAGCACTGCTTTTAAAGATTCCCATAACTTTGCGTATATTGTACCTTCATTTTCAGTGAATTCTAGGAAGTCTCTAATTTATTTATTTATTTCTTGGCCCAGGAGTGATGTAGTTAAATATTGGTCAATTTCAATGAGTCTATAGATTTTGTGCAATTTGTGTTGTTGTTGAAGTGTAATTTTAAACTATGGTGATCTGATAAGGTACAGGGGGTTATTACATTTTTGTAGCTGTTGAAGGTTGCTTTGTTGCTGAGAATCTGCTGGGTTCTAGAAAAGTTCCATGGGGTGCTTAGAAGAATGTACATCATTTTATATTTTGATGGAATATTCTATAGATGTCTGTTAAATTCAATTGAGTCGTAACTTCAGTTAGGGCCTTCATGTCTCTGTTAAATTTCTGTCTCATAGTCCTGTCCAGTGATGAGACTGGAAGTCTCCCACTATAAGCATGTGGATTTTTATGTGTGATTTAAATTTTATTAATATTTATTTACAAATGACAGTGTCTTTATATTTGGGGCATAGATGTTCAGAAATGAGGCTTCATCTTGATGGATATTTCCTGTGAACAATATGAAATGACCTGCTTTGTATCTTTTGATTATATTTAACCTGAAGTCTAATTTGTTAGATACTAGGATAGCTACACTAGCTTGTTTCTTAGGTCCATTTGACTGGACAAACTTTTCCCAGTCATTTACTGTGAGGCATTTTCTTCCTTTGATTTTGAGTTGTGTTTCTTGTATGCAACAGAAAGATGTATTCTGTCTTTGTATCCATTCTATTAACTTGTTTTTTTCTAGGAAAACTAATATCATTGATATTAAGATATATTAATGACCATTGATTGATGATTCCTATTAATTTTGGATTTGGTGGTGGGGGTGTTATTATGTGTATATATTTCCCTTTTTGAGTTTTGGTAATGTGGGATTATATATCGCCTGTTTTTGTAAGTAAACCTATATCCTTGTGTTGAAATTTTCCTTCCACTACTTTCTATATGGCTGGAGTTGTGGATATATATTGTTTAAACATACTTTTGTTGTGGCATATTTCGTTTTCTCTATATACTGTGATTGAAAGCCTTGCTGGAAGTAGTGGTCTGGTTTGGCATCCATGGTCTCTTTGTGTCTGTAGAACATCAATCCTGGATCATCTGGTTTTCAGAATTTCCACTGAGATGTCAGCTGCAATTCTGATATGTCTGCTTTTGTATGTTACTTGGCCTTTTTGCTTTGCAGCTCTTAATATTATTTCTTCATTCTGCATGTTTGGTGTTTTTATTATTATGTGGCAATGGAACATTTTTTATTTGGTCTGGTCTATTTGGTGTATATAGGCATGCCCTTCTTTATGTTTGGAAAGCTTTTCTCTCTGATTTTGTTGACTATGTTTTATCTGCCTTTCAACTGGACTTTTTCACCTTCTCCCATATTCTTTGGTTTGGTCTTTTCACCAAGTCCTATATTTCCTGAATATTTTGTGTTAAAGTTTGTTTTGGATTTAAGATTCTTTGATCAATTAACATATTTCTTCTAGTGTATCTGCAAAACCTGATAATATCTCTTACATCTCTTGTGTTAAGTTGGTTATGCTTGCCTCTATAGTCCCTGATTGTTTACCCATGTTTTCTATTTCCAGTAATCCCTCAGTTTAAGCTTTCATTATTGCCTCTATTTTTGTTGAAGTATTGAATTGTTTCCTTCACTTGTTTGATTGTGTTATCTTGGGTTTTCTTGCTTTCTCTAACTGATTTGTTGAGTTCTTGAATTCTTGGTTTGTCTTTTCCTCCATTTTTCCCCCAAGTTTTGTCTTTTCTTTCATTTTTAAAGCGATTTTCTCATTTCCTGTTTACAGGTATCTATCATCTCCATAAAGCTGTTTTTAATGCGGTTTTCTTCTACTCAATCTGCGTTGAGATGTTCAAGTCTTGTTTGCTAAGAATCCCTAATCTCTTGTGGTATCATGTTGCTCTTCATGTTGTTGAATGTGTTCTTATACTGTCATCTACCCATCTCTTATTCCAGTGGGTGCATGTGTGCCTTGTGGTACATGAGATCTCTTTTCTTCTAGTTGGTGTTGGGGCCTGTGGCTTAGGTAGTTGATCTGTTAATTAATCTCATGTCAGTGGCAAATAATATCACCACCCAGGAGTTTAAGAACATTTACATTTCTGCTATGGATAGAATTTTAGAAGTGTATGACCTATTTGGGACATAAATACTTTTAGCCATAGTTACTATTAGTTTGGTAATTCATATCATATCCTAAAAGAAATGGTTGGATAATGGAGCCAAGAATGAGAAACTTATAGAATGATGCAGACTCTTCAGACTGGTAATGAGAGCCTAGCAAAAAGTATTCATACAATTGAAAATGGCAATCATAATTTGACAAACATAATATGCAAAATGGAACATAGAAATGAACTTTTCAAAGGAAAAAAGAATTTCATGTCTAAGATTCCTGATAAACTTACCGATAGAATATCATTTTTGTAAGGAAATCTGATTGCCATCCAAATAATCTCTAAGAAGAGAAGATACCATCCATGGATAAAATTAAATCCCTGGTATAACACGTGAATAATGAGAATAAGAAACTGGCTGTTCTAATGAAAGAGTTGTAAATATTGACAGCTAAAGAGGTTCAAACCCTTCACAAAACAACAATAAATACATTATAGGCCTAAGAAGAACTCATTGAAACTAGTAAGCTAGACTTTGTGGTACAAGGGCAAGAGCATAAGAGGGATTTAGAATAGCCAGTAACTTTCAGAGTATGAGTTCATTTAGCAAAAGTTGTATCATCATCTACTATGATGTATCCTGCTGCTGTTTCTAAAAACTCAACAGATACTAAACATCCAGAAGGATATATACAATGAAAATTTGAGCCTATGTACAAGAAAGACTCAAAATTTATTAAGGCAGCACTAGTTTATTATGATTTGCATTTATCATATGTGAGGCAGTTAGTAAAGATATTGACTACAAGAAGTAGAATCTCTTCAAAGGAATGGATTCAATTAGTCTCAGTAGTATTAAAACTTAGTTCACAGCTGTAATGGAAATCATATTGGTTGGAGGAAGCAAAGACCCTTGAACATCAATGAAGAGTCAAAGGATATGAGACTTCCCATTGTCAAATCGTGATGAGAACCACTATGCTGATGTAGATCCTCAAGATACAGACAATGGACACATATTCCTATGCCATACAGCAGTTTCAATTGCTTGGTACAAACTTTAAGAACCAGGGAATATAATTGAGTTTTGCACTAAGGTTATACAAGGCACAAAAGAACCCTTTAGTGACTTTTTGCAAAGATTTACTGAAGCTGTACAAATAGGGGTAACATTTCCAGAAGGTAGACAAGAACTCATTGAATCTCTTGTTTTTGAAATGGTTAATTTAGAAAGCAAAAATTTACGAGACCCCTTAAATTTCAGATCATCACCAATGGATGAATAAATCCTACACACAGCCATTGTTGTATCCTTTTGGGAGGGGATTTATGAGACAGGGTTTCT